TTTTTTATGACTGAAGGCCAGTATCAATGATACCAATACTGATTTCTCTATAAAATCCACCCCCCCCAATATTTAACCATTGACTATAGCCATTCAACATTACAGTATAATTGAGAGCTATCAATTTTAACATTTATTAGACTTTAAAAAATAACTTCTAATTTAAGTGAACTTAAAACAATGTTCACATAAACCCATTATAATAAATGTCATATTTACAGTACCTGTGCACTTCAGCAGAAATATACAGAAATTGAAATTGAAGTTGTCAAACACTAAACACTAAATTCTAAATTAAATATAAATGAATCCTTAAAGCTACAAAAGTTCTTTTTTCCTCTTTTTTTTTCTTTGTCCTTTGATTAATACATCACAGCAGCTGGTTATTAGGTTGTTTTGGCTGCTATTATCATCTCAATGGATGTGCAGCGCACCTGTGTTTGTGTATTTGGCGTAACTTAAACTCTAGTGTGAAGGTGCACAACTCGCCGTCGCTTTCTCTCACACGCGCAAAGAGTGAGAGTCTTACATAACATGCAGAATTGATGCGCTACATGTAAACGATATACTTTGTTGTGTTCTCAGTCGTTCTGCGACTGAATAAATGCACTTCTTGTCAAGAGAATAAGTGACAGAAGCAGCAGTTGTGAGTGGAGTGGCCAACCCTAGCCCCGCCCCTGCGTTAAATATTTTTAATGCGTTAAATTGAAAAAAATGAATCGCCTGCGTTTAACGCGCTAATTTTGACACCACTAATTAAAATATATAAAAGAATAAGGGAGCATATTAAATTTGACTGTGTTTTAAATGAGTAAAAAATTCTTACTGACAAATGGGCAAAACCTAGGATAGTGGCAAATTTTTTAAATGTAAAATTACAACTAATTAGTATTTGGGGTGAAAGTAATTAGTCTTTTAATATGTCATAAATAGATTTTTGTTGTAAATATGCCTGAAAAGATTGTCACACTGAATGACATTTTAGTGGGTGTCTTCTGTAAATCAGGGAAAAATGTATGATATTTATTTTTGCTCAGAAAAACAAAATTGCAATTAAATTAAACAGAATTTTTTATTTTTTTGGGGGGGGAAAAACAACAACAATTTAAAGCAGTATTACAGTTATTGTTTTTATGCTTAAACCCTTTTTCGTCTTTGACCCATGTATGTTTTTCTTTTCTTTTTTTCCATAATTTAAAATAATTAAAGTTTGAATTTATGTAAAATTAAAAAAGACTCACCAAAAAAGTGTACTTTTATTTTTTTAAAGCATCTTTGCTGACACTGTTATATCCTTGCAAACAGACTTTTGATAATACTTTGTTAGTGGCAAAATATGTCCATTATAGACCACCCTAGAGACCATCATAAATCATAATTTTAAACATGTTTAAAGTTCATATTTTTATGATGGATTTTCAGATTTTAATATTGAGTGTAATTTATGGGTCTGGGACAAGAATAAATCAATTAAATCTATACATAAAATACATTTGAAATGTAGCGAAATAAATGATGGAAGTCAAAAAAAGTTTTTTTTTTAATACCACTATCATTAAACACAAATAATAATGCTAAAATATGGTAGGTTTAATAATGAACCATGGAACATGAATGTGGCTAAATACATTTGTTAACAGTTTTTTTTGTTTGTTTTTTATGCAGGTTTAATGTATTTAACTTGCATTAAACATTCTGAATCTACAATATCAGTTTTAACCCTGTTCTATTCATCACAATAAGAAAAACTAGAGCCAATTATAAATGATAACACATATTAATCATAATTGTATGCACATCTGTGTTTTAAGCTTTCAGTCTATGGTGCTCAACCTGTCACACTGTCCATTGATCAATGTATGCTACAAGAATCAAACATTTGGTGAAACAGAACATCAGTTTCTTTAATTATTTAAACATTCATAATTAACATTTAAGTAAGCTTTGTTGGCAATGCAATGCCCACTGACCTTAAAAACCTGGTTACGTGGTGTCTTGTTTCCGTTGTAACCCATGTCCTTCCCGTTGTTTGGGCAGGATGGTCCAAGACAGAACACATGACAGAAGATCCGGACAATTCGGAGCATACTCTTTGTTTGGACCTCAAAGTTACTGGACAAACTAATGGAAACAGAATGAGAAATAGATTTGCATAAAGTTCTACATAATACAATTTCTCAAGAAATGTGGATAACCTGAGACACACCTCAGCAGTTTATGTCCGTTTGTGGTGGTCACGTCAGCCAAGCTGGTCAAGATCATTTGGTAGCTGGAGTCACTCTGCTGTGAAACGTGTTCTAGAACCTGCCTTAGCTTAAAAAAAATAATATTCAACATGTAAAAAGACACTCATGTACATAAACTCATCAAGAAACATATATAAGAAAAAGAGGCGTACCATGTTCTCTTTAATGTCATCATTCTGAGTCATCTGTATCAGTGTCTGAAACAGTCTGCTATGGTGCTGGATGAGAATTGCACATGATTCACCATAACCACCCTAAAAATAGTTACACATGAGCTTTAGTATCCTGCATATTAGTGAATATAATATAGGTGTGCTGCATTCACCTGCACACACAGGTCAAGCGGTGTAACCCCATTCTTGTCTGGCAAATACTTGGCTCCCCTGAGGAGCAGTATCTGTGCGGTGTCCCTCTGACCATGACTGCAATACAATGATAAAAGCTTGTAAATTGCATGCATATTTCATATGCATATTTGCATATTTGCATGCATCAATATCTTCCATCCATGTGTGAACAAGTTTAGATCCCACTTCTGAGTGCACGTGAACCTGGCAGATTTGAATGAGTGAAATTCAAGATTCTAAGTAAATAACAGATTTGCGTTTGATCCTCACACAAAGCCCTCCAAATGTCCTGGATCAAGTTCAAGGCCCAGCTTGAGGTCCTTTCCCAATCCTGTTTCTCTCTATATTCTTCTGTTGCTTCCCGCCTCTCTACACCATTACTATTAAAGGGGTCATATGATGCGATTTCAAGTTTTCCTTTCTCTTTGGAGTGTTACAAGCTGATTGTGCATAGATAAGATCCCTGAAGTTGCAAAGACTAAAGTCTCAAAACCAAAGAGATATTCTTTATCAAAGTTAAGACTCTGCCACGCCCCCCTAAAACGGCTCGTTCTAACACGCCCCCACATATCTAGGTCACTATGTGGGAATATTTGCATAATGCGCCCAAATGTGCACGCAAAGAAAGAAGGCGTGGTTTCAGTAACCGCAGTTAGTGTTGAAGCAGCATGTCAGGGAGATGCTGTGTGTTTCTAGGCGAAAGCAAAAGCACTTTATTTGGCCTTCCGAAAGTAGATGCATTTAGGAATCTTTAAGATTACTTACAACAGAACAGCAATGCATTTTATGGACGACCGTTTCGTGAACCTAGGAGAGGAGGTAATTCTGACTTTGCTATGACAATCTGGCGCTTCTGAATCAGCTACTGTTTTGTTATTAGTTTAAGTATTTGCTATTGACTGTTCAAATGCGGAGTTTTGCGCATCGTGTGTGTGTGTGTGAGAGAGAGAGAGACAGGGTCACATCACAGTAGAGTCAGCTGTCTTAACCGCGGCTTGTGTACTGCATCATTACTGTGTCTGTCACGCGACTCTGTTTCCCTTTCGGGCTCTGTCTTTACATTTATTTTGAAAGATGAAGCTCGCGATTATGGTAAGGGGCGTTACATTTCCGACGAGTGCTTGCGGTGTTCGGCCAATCACAATGCGCTGGGTCAGCTGGCCAATCAGAGCAGACTGCACTTGTCTGAAGGAGGGACTTTGTAGAAAACGAAGCGTTTGAGAGAGGTGGGGCATATAGGACCTACAATAATGTACAATATTTGAAAAATAATGTGTTTTTTGAACATTAAAGCATGTCAACATATTCTGTTACACCAAATACACAAAATAATGATCTTTAAAAAAGCATCATATGACCCCTTTAAGGCAAAAGTGCCAAAAACGAACTAAAATGGCTTGGATGTAGCACACAAGTCATACAGATTAATGGCAATATGCATAACATGCACGGTTGCGTAAAATGGGCAAGGAGTTACCTTCAAATGTCATTAAACTGGATGAGATAGTATTCATGTAGCTAGCTGTAAATATCTTAACAGTTAACTAACTTGCTCAGAAAAATCTTTTTACCAACGGTTGTCAATGTTTTTGCCTACAATATTGAAAGGCCCCCCCAAGGCCTAGTGAAAAATCAATATCCTAAAACATATTTGAAATACATTTATTTCATGCTAAGTATACTACAAATACATTTATATGTATGCACTTAATAAAAATACCCTGCAATTGTACTTTTGGTATACTTAAAGTCTGCTAAATTGGAGCAATTTATTTTGTACTTCATGCACTTTAATAGTGTGGAAGTAGTGCTGAAGTCCAACTAAAAATATACTGAAGTATATTTGATTGTGCTAAAGTGGAACTATTGCAAGTATACTTTAGGTGCACTTTTTTATATATCTTGCATTTAAAGACCAATATTATTGAAAGACCATACAATCCTCAGCAATATTAAAACTCATTTTAGGCTTAATATTTAGAAATGTGCAAGTAGTACTCCAAATAAAGTTTCATTATAATTGCTATATCAGTAAGTCTTGAGCGATATTTCAGTAAAATATGTTAAATGTATTATGTTTCAACTGGGGTAGTTTTGTCTTATTTTAATCTATGGGCACTCCTAGTTTCTGTAAATTGAAACAAGTCACTAAAACAATAATAATTTATTTTCAAGATTCCAGAGGTTTTAAGAGCTTCATGTTTTTCAGTGATTCCATTTTTATAACCAATACATGTACATGACTTTTCTATCTATTCCAGTCATCCGGAACAAATGTGTATGGTTGATTTACAACACATAAGCATCACAAAAATTGGTATGGAATTGCAAGAGTCAGAACAGGCCCAGATTCCATGTTTTAAAAGCCTTTCAAGCGTATGTTTAATTACTCTTTAATTATCTGTTGTGAGGCATGTTAGTGTTGATCGCATCATCAGCAGCCTTGAGTGGACTGATATCAGTGGCAAAATGTAATCAAAACAAGAGACGGATGGAGTGCTGTTGCTCAGCAACCGAGCTCATGTGAGTGTATCCAAAGCTGCACTCTCAGAATACCAACAGTGGCACATCTTCATCAGGCTACATTCTTATTAGCCTGTCCTTACAGCAAAGAAACTTGAATTCCTGTGTTATTCTCATCAAACTCAAAAGAAAGCTGTGTGTTAAAAGGTTATATATATATAGTATCTGTACAAACCCCTGATTATCCTAATTATGTTTCTTGTGTAGACAGAAAGCGTCCAGATTCAGTCACTGAATGGAAGTTAATTTTCTTAAGGGGCCACATTCTAATTGTTGACCACACATTTCCATTTCAGGCCGGAGTGAAATAAACGGTAATCATGCTAAACATTGTACATTTGTGTTGGCAGCTGGTAGTGCTGGGGTTGATGATGGTTAGCTGCTCACCTGCAGGCGAAATAGAGTGGAGTGGCTCCAGAGACATTGGGCCTGTTGATGTCCGCTCCGCTGTCCAGAAGACACTGCACTGTCTGTGAGGAACAAAAACATCACATGAACCTTAACAAAACTACTAAAAAAAAATCATTTTTGAAATACAAAGTGCAAGTGTGTAAGCTGTGAAGACAGAGAGATTTCGTACAGTCTTGTGTCCATTCTGGCAGGCCACATGTAAGGCTGTCTGGCCCATGGCGTCCTCCACGTCCACATTAGACACATGCTGCACCAGGTCATGAAGTAGCTCTGTCCTTCCATTCACTGCCAGCCAATGAATCTAATGACATGAAAGAATGACATAAAGAATAAAATACAAGTAAACAGCACTTCTACTATTAGTAAAAAAAAAATACTATATATATATATATACACATTAGACATTGTTTTAATGTAAATTAAATAAGTTTAAGTTTCAATTAGGTTTAAATTCATGCATCTAATGGTCTAGGCCAGTGTTTCCCAACCGGGGTGCCGTCTGTCGAGAGCAGGGGTGCCGTGTAAAAAATCCTTTTTTAATATTTTTAAATTGCTAAAATGTTCAAAAAAGCATCTATTATATAATATAAATTTCTGATGTCGCAAATAATTAGAGATGCACCGAAATTTCGGCTGCCGAAAAGTAGTTCACCGCTCAGGTTTCACTTTCACGTGGTGTGACACTCTGTGTATTATCCCGCTCTATGCGTGTGCGCTCCGCCCAATCGCTCCACCCGTATACCGTTCATGCGAATCGGAACAGCACAGTCCACTCAAAAATTGAGCCGACAGGAAATCTGTATGACATTATATTCTGCAGTTCTTCCCTGCTGTACCGAACATCTATACTTTTCAAATGATCATATTGACGTTAGAAATTCAAATATTGTGACAATTTATTTTGTAGGGTGCCACAAGTTTGTTAAAATTTCCAAAGGGTGCCGCGACTAAAAAAAGGTTGGGAAACACTGGTCTAGGCTACTGCTCAACGGTGTTCGGGAAAGTTACTTTTAGAGGTAATGCATTACAATATTGTGTTACTCCCTAAAAAAGAAACTAATTTCTTTACTTAGTTTCTTTTTATGGAAAGTAATGTTTCTTTACTTTTGAGTTACTTTTTTCAATTTGGGCAGGGCTTGGACCACAAAACCAGTCATAAGGGTCAATTTTTTTGAAATAAATAAGCTTTCCATTGATGTATGGTTTGTTAGGATAGGACAATATTTGGCTGAGATACAACTATTTGAAAATCTGGAATCTGAGGGCGCAAAAAAATCTAAATATTGAGAAAGTCACCTTTAAAGTTGTCCAAATGAAGTTCTTAGCAATGCATATTACTAATCAAAAATTAAGTTTTGATATATTTAGAGTAGGAGATTTACAAAATATCTTCATGGAACATGATCTTTACTTAATATCCTAATGATTTTTGGCATAAACGAAAAATCTATCATTTTGACCCATACAATGTATTTTTGGCTATTGCTACAAATATACCCCAGCGACTTAAGACTGGTTTTGTGGTCCAGGGTCACATTTTACAAACGTAAAAGCCCTTTCACAACAAAAGTGAAATGAATAACGCCTCAGGCTGAAGGAAATGTAAATTCATTTCTATACAGTAGAGGGTGCTGCTTAAACAAATTGCATAAAGAAAGAATATGAAGCAGGAGAAAAAAGTTCAACACTATTCAGCAATAAAAAAAAATTTAACACAAATGTGTCATTTTTGCTTAGTATGGCTGAATTGGATAATCGAAGGTCAGTATAGCAAAGACACTGGCTAATAAAATGGGATTAAATCCATAAATGATATTTGGCCTTTTTAACATATTTAATTATTGCAGGTTTGTATAATATTCTGAGTTTGCATTTGACTGTTTTTATTAAAATACATGTTCATATTTAGTCTAGAACTACAGTAACATCATGTTCACACACAACGCCTCTGCACTTACTCCCGATTTTTCTCAACATGGCAACACCAGAGCTGTCAGTCAAGACAAGGGAAACAAAGTAACTGGCGTTACTTATTTGAAAAAAAGTAACTCAGATATTTCCTTCTAAATTAATAGTGTTACTTTTCTAGTTACTTAAAAAAAGTAATCGGATTATGTAACTCGCGTTACTTGCAATGCGTTACCCCCAACACTGCTGCTCAAATGCTTACAATTAGTTTAATACCTTCATAAGAGTTTCTTTATTAAATGTATAACTAAATATTGATAAAAATCATTGTTTTAAAAGTGGGCGAGTAGAAAGCAGTAGGCTTCCAGCATACATATGCATATGAAAAAATGGTTTAAAAATAAATGCAATTGGCAACTTTATTTCTTTTGTGTTATTTCACAGTTTTGATCACTTTACTATTACTTATAAATGTAATATTCATAACTATGAAAATGTTAAATAGTAATGTTTTTATTATCATTCTTGTTGTTGTTGTTTTTGTGTGTCTGTCTCAAATGTGCAGTTTTATCATCATACTCACAGCAGTGAGACCTTCATTATTGCAGATATTAACATCAGCATTGAACTCTAACAGTCTGCCCATACACTTCTTCTGTCTGTGAAAACAGAAGACAACATGGGGGGAAAAATGTTAATGGGACTCAACATAAATGCATTTCTCAGTTACCATCTTTTGCAAGCAATACACACAAACGCTTAGTTGAATGTGAAGTTGAAAAAATTTGATTTGTTATGCTTCCAGCAGGTGGCGGCACTGCACAGAGTTTATAAAACCCCCGTTTACCCGTTTCTTGCAGCCAGATGCAGAGGTGTGCAGCCGGAGATATCCTGATAGTTTGGATTCGCTCCACGCTTTAACAGCAGGACAAGACACTCCACCGATCCACAGCTAAAACAACAACAAAAAATCCAGAGAACATATTCATTTTGGGTCATCCGAATAAATATATATATCACTTTATCAAGAGTTTAATAAATAAACAATAGTCAATACATGAAAATGTGGTAATTTTGTGAGAATGTGAAAAGAACTTACTTGGCAGCAATGTGTAGAAGGCTTCTTTTAACACGTCCAAAGGCATAGTTGACATCAAACTTTGAGTTTAAAAGCAATTCAGAAACTGACCTATGAGCAAACTAAAAACAATGTTACACCCTGTTTGCGTTTCATCTTCCTCTTTTCACAGTGATTGGTTGTCGCGTTTTTCGCTCGATATTTGCATAAAGTCGAGGAATGCCCAAACTTTTTGACGCTCTCGGCCGCTCTCAACACTTTCTCCATGCCGCTTTCAATCCCATAATGCACCACGCAAGCGTTTAAGCTCAACTTCCATAGGAATTAATTGAAAACGCTCGAGACGGAAGTTTAAAGGAGACGACTGCCACCCAAAGAGGATGCTAAGCTTGACATCCTCTTCTTTAGCTTCCGTTAAATTTATAGCAGTTAATCACTGAGCTGGTCATACATACTGTACTGGAAATAGCAGAGGTTAGTATTGGGGAAGCTGCAGGAGTGGGTGGCATTCGTTTAGGTTTGTTTAGACAGGGAATGAAGTTATTGTGTTTCTGTTTGTCTTGGCCTTTGTTAGGTCATTAATTGTGTTCCAGTTGCATTCAGAGCATAACAGTGACACTCACCTGTGCTGGTCGGCCATGACCATGGGCATGAGGGTGTACACAGCTGTTTCACTGTCTACAAGAAAACATACACATTTTTCAAATATATTTTCCGTAACAACTGTAAATTGCTGAAAATTGTATTTTAAATGTAAAATACATCAGGGTAGTATATGCTGGATCAAATAAAATGACAGTTTTACAATATAAAGAGAATAAATTGAGAATCACTATAGAGAACAAAGTCAAAAGTACAATTTCCAGATGCATTACAGACAGTCAGGAGAGGCATTCGACAATTTAGCACACATATTATGTCCACCAATGATAATTATATTTTTCTAACTTTTTCTTTTTTAGAAATACCTCATATATCCATAAAGAGTAAATAAATAATCTCACACACGCACATATACATGTACATATATACAGTATATATATATATATATTAGGAATTAATTGAAAACGCTCGCTTCGCTGTGCTCGCTACGTGCCAGTGGAAACGCACCGTTACGATGCTTTTGGGAAACGCAGCCCAAGAGTCCATCTGAATTGGCCGTTGAATCACTGGCTCACTCGATTCGTTCAAAAATTGATTAATTCAAGGAACAAAACACTGTGTTACTACTATGCACATTTGTGCTCTCACATGTACTGATATTCATATTCATTCATATTCATTGCTTGAGCAATGAATATCAAAACATAAAAACTCATACAGTACATGGGTAATTTTTCTTTAATTGCTTGAATTATAAGGATATTTTGACTGTATTCCAATAGGCTTCATCGCGCAGTGAATGCTTTTGGACTCTCAAGACATGTTTTTGTGTGGTTTTTGCAAAGTTGATGACTCGATAATGCCAGCTCTCCTGTCGTCTCTCAATCGCTCACATTCACACATACAGCACAATAACATTATATCAGGGGAATGTCTTTAAATTCTAATCAAGGAAAAATCATACCTTTTCTGTTGTCTTCTTTTTAAAGAACTTCAAAAGTTGCGCTTGAACCATTTTGCGCGCAAAATGACAAAAACCTGCTTCAGCTTGTGCGCAGCTTGTTACAGAACCGAGTTCTGATTGGCCAATCGCCGTTATTCGTGAATTATAACATTTTAACAATTTATGTAGAGAATACATAATACAAATACAAATAGAATACAAATAGAGAACTTTAACATGTTATTTGCATAAGTTTTACATAATACACATTATGAATCCAAATGGGATGGCGGGGGGG